ACTCTATTTGGAGGACCACCAAGGCTACCATGACTTCATGAGGATGACAAGAAATTGTTTTTGTGAATTACTACAACTAGTGATGCCTCTCATTTGCAAAAGTGATACAAATATGAGGAAGGCAGTAACTCCAGAAGAACGATTAGCTGTGACTCTTTGATACCTTGCTACAGATAAGAATTAATCTTGAAGAATGAAAATTATAGTTATCAAACCCAGTATTCAGTCTCTGAATATAGATTAAAACATAAAGACTTTCATGAAGTGCAGTAAAACCCTGAATGATGAGGAATAATAAACATTACAGTATTTTTTATAATCTTCAAAAGGAGCATAGAGTGAGCTTTAAAAACTGATCAGCAATTCCAGTCAATCTCTACTTATTTACGGACCTTAATGATAAATTATAACATGTACACACTGTAATTGACTACAGGGCATAGATTAAAGACAGTATTATTGGGAAAAGTAGCAAAAACTGCAATACGTTAGATAAAACCCTAAGTTTGATGCAATTTTAATGCTTTGATATTTGCATATGTGTTATGTTACACACACACACATATTTATATATATAGTAAATGTTTAGTCCCTATATTTGTAATTTACAGTATACTGTAATTTATTGTAAGGATGTTTTAATGTAAAAGACGTGAATTTTTAATTTTATTTCACTTTATCTTTGCAGGCGAGTCTCGACGCTCATTGGCCTTTCAATTCCGCATTAGCCATTATTTCATCTCGAGTATCATACCATCGGTTTGCCAGGCACTTTATCAAGTACTCGAGCCAATATATCTGAAGGTTCCAAGTACTTCAGAGGAATGACACACAAGTTTTTCACCCGTTGGAATTTCCCCAACTGCATAGGTGCAATTGACGGCAAGAGGGTTTTGATTGCCAAACCTGCAAAATCCGGTTCTGAGTACTATGACTACAAAGGCCAAAACAGTATGATAATGTTAGCTATGGTAGATGCGGACTATAGATTTATTTTTATTCATGTAGGGTCTCTTGGTAGAGCAAGTGATGCAGGGGTATGGGATGTGTCCTCTGCATGAAGCCATGGATACTGGATTTTTTAATGTTCCAAGACAAGCTCCTCTGCCATTCACCAATATTTAGTGCCCCTACATGATTGTGGGTAATGATGTCTTTCCCCTAAAATCATACATGATGAAGCCTTATCCTGGAAAAGACCAGAGTGTTGAACAAAGAGTGTTTAATTATCGGTTGTCGCGTGCAAGGCGTGTTTCCTAAAATGCCTTTGAAATACTCTCAGCAAAATTTAGGATATTCAAACAGCCAATTTATACGACTCCTAAAAATGTGGAAGACATAATACTTTGCACAGTTGCACTCTATAATTTTTATGTGCAAAACAGAGTGAGCCTCAGGAACAACTTGTTAGAGAGGATTTGGAAAAAAAACAGTATTCTACCAGGACAGTGGCAAATTTTACCCCATGGAGCCTTGGAACAGCTGCAAGTGTTTGGGAGAGGACATTCTAGTGAAGCCAAGGCTGTGAGAGAAAAATTAAAGAGATATTTCAATAATGAAGGGAAGGTCTCATGGCAGTTAGATATGTCTCAAATGCACTAGTGTGTGTGAGATATGTCTTTAATGCACGAGTCTGTGAGAGATATGTCTTTAATGCACTAGTGTGTACATTTTGTATATACATATCTTATATCTACACATTTTATAGGATTATGTTTTATATGTAAGGAATTACTTTTATCAAATGAATTTTATACATTTTGTTTCATAATTCTAAATAGTTTGTGTGTGTGTGTGTGAATATTTTCCTTTAATCAATGTATTCTAGAAAAACACAAATAATGGTTTGTAAAATATTTGTATGTTTATTCCTCTACAAATAATGGTTTGTGAAATAGATATATATTCCTCTTATCACAAGCATTTCATGATGAGCAAATTTTAAGAAATTTACACAATAAATTGCACGAGGAAATATTATATTGGGATTATGTATCTTCTCATACTAGTAAGATACAATTGTAGTTTGCAAAATATGTCTAAATATTCTTATCAAGAGCATTTCTTAAGCCAAGATTTTTAAAGAATTTGAAGAATAAATTGCATGAGGAAATATTTTGTATCTTCTCAGTCTAGAAAATTCAGTAAAGTCCATATGAAAACCAAGATTCAGAGTGACTGTTATTCATAAATATGACATATAAAACTGACGTGGGTATTAAAACTTGATATAAAAACACAATTTATTGCAACAATACATGCTGACGTAATACAAAAGCACATTAAAAAAATGGAAAATATGAGCTAATGCACTGAAAAGTAATTGCTGGTATATGTAAATTTGAGTATGTATGTATATATATATAGAGATAAATATATGTACTATTTATCACAGGAATGAGCATAAAGAGTTCTTAGACTACAATTATAAATCTAAGAAAAATAAAATCACATCTTACAAACTATAAATGCAAAAAACAATAAAATACAAAATCCTTAAGATAACCGCTTGTTTTGCTCTCTGCATTTCATGTTCTTTTTCTACAAGTTCTTGAATTCTCGTAACATTATCCAACACACTTGTTGCTTTTTTTTATTGTGCTCGCCACCTACTTTTCTTCTACATGGTGTGGAAGAAAGCATTGGTGGTGGTGACAGTCACTGAGAACCAGATAGAATCACTGGTAGTGGTGGGGGCGGCAATAGTGATATCACTGGCAGTGGTGATGGTGAGGAAGAAGTATTCAAACCTCTAGAGGAGTCCAGGAACACCTCTACTTGATCAAGAGTAACACCTTCAATGGCATCTCTTATATGTATGTATATATACATATATATATACATATACATATATATACATATACATATATATATATATATATATATATATATATATATATATATATATATATATATATATATATATATATATATATATATATATATATATATATATATGTGTGTGTGTGTGTGTGTGTGTGTGTGTGTGTATGCGTGTGTGTGTGTGTGTGTGTGTGTGTGTGTGTGTGTGTTTGTAAGTCTGTGTGCGTTTTCGTGTATGTGCGTGTAGGTCTGTGTGCGTTTTCGTTTATTTGAGAGTGTAAGCTTCCGGCTGCCTAGCGGGCTGCCTAGCGGGCCTGCCCGAGCGGCTGGCGGAGGCGGGCTTGGCCGAGCGGCTAGTGGAGTTGCTTGGCTGGCGGAATCGCTGCGGCCGCGACCCCCCATCCTGGCCAGGGACACCCGTCGAAGAGGAAGTTTGTGAGGTCCGCTTCATGGATGTGCTGCATGGCGGGCCTACGCGAGGAGCTGAAGGAACCGGCCTTCCCGCTTGGTGGGCTGTGACAGAGCGGCCTTTCCTGTCGACTGTACAAAGAGAGAGAGAGAGACATACAAAGAGAGAGAGAGAGCAAGAAAGAGAGACACAGAGAGAATAAAAATGGCAGAAAGAAAAGAAGAATGATTCCCACGTTTTTCAAGCATTCCCGCGCTCTTGCCACGTGAATAGTCACGTGACCTGACAGAAAAAAATATTGAAGGGAAGAAATGGGGGATTGGAAGATGGGGGGAGAGGAGGTATATATATATATATATATATATATATATA